GCTCAAAGATTTTCTGTAGGGTTGAGATCCAGAGAGGCTGGCAGTCATACCATCAACCTTTCACCTTGTATGCTGTAAGAGCCTAGGAATGCTTGGGGAGCATTGAAATACTAGTCTTTACAAGTGGCAATAGTATGTAATCTAGACAGGGATCCAAGACCACCTTCAGGAAATTTCAGAAGGCAGCTGTGGCCACTTTAACCCATTCAGGCACCCTAGTTGGGCCAACAAGTCTGTCCCCAATGATGCCAGCCCACAACATAACTCCTCCACTCTGTTGTCATTGTCATAAGTGTTGGTGATGTTCATCTCCCAAATAGACCCAACCAAAAAACAATAGTCACCTTGGTCTTGTCGGCGGACAGAACAGAACATAACCCATGTCCAACGTCATGTACTTCTGAGCCCATTGAAGTCTCAAATTCCTGTGAGGAGGCAATTTCAGGGGATCTCGCACAGAAGCCATGGTCCTGAGGACGCGATTTCTGGTGGCTTTCAGTACATGAGGAAGTCCGGCGAAAATGACTTTATTTTTTTGTCTGGATTTCTCCTGTAACTTGCACCAAAAATTCCTGAAATCTGTAGCTGTCACAGTCTTGGAGGTTCAACAATCAGATCATTCCTTCCTTGGCAAAGGGTCCCTCAGGAATCGCCTATCTTCACATGACAATCTAACTTCTCTGAAATGACATGGGAAGATGCCTTTAGTGTACACATTTTTCCGTCGCTGAGGCCTTTTCCATGTCCCTTTGTTCTTAGAGACGACAGTATTAGTGTGGTTCACCCAAAAACTGTCAGATCATCTGAAAAAAAAAAAAATAAATAAAATAAAATAAGGGATGTTATACAGAATAATGAAAACCTTACAATGGTGTTGCCATATTGTGCAAACTAGCTGGGGAAAATCAATTCGCAGGAAACGGAGAAATCTTAAATTTCACTACCAAGCTATTTGTGTATATGTCTGTGTACACATATATATGAGAGAGAGAGAGAGAGAAAATCTTGGTTTTTGTTGACGTGTTTCACCTTCTGACTTTATTGAGGTGAAATTGGGATTTTATTAATGAAGATATATATATATCTTAGTAAAATTCCCAGAACAATTCTGTGTATGAAAACAAACATTTTGCTTCAATTTTGCCTTAATAAAGTCAGAAGGCAAAACACATCAACAAAAACTGATTTTTTTTTTTGTGTGTGTGTGTCTGTCTGTTTTATATATATATATATATATATATATATATATATATATATATGACTCTCTCCCCCCCTCACCTCATGGTAAAGATTTGAAAATCTTTGTTTATATTAGCCAGCTTATAATAAAACAAAATCTATTATAATGACTCGATGTGCTGATATGCTAGAGAGAATGCTATATACTGAAAACTTGATCTGCTTAGTAGGTTAGGGTGAGTTGCAATAAGAAGTAATAAAAAAAAAAAAATTTCAGTGACTTATAAAGTAGTCAAATGCAATATAGTAAATAAAACAAAGTACAGTATTTATAAGCAAAAATCAAATTTTTTGTTATCCTCTGCCAGCCCCAGATGGAGAAAGCATTACCTCACACAATCACCAGTGAGACATGCTGCAAGTGCCAATCTTGTTTCGCAAGGCTCATTCCTTAACTGAGACATAATCCTGCCAACCCTCCTAGGAATGTCATCAAACGAGGGATAGCAAAATTACATTGAAAAATAAAGTATTATTGGCTAAATTCAAAATATTCTCAATGCTAGGAAAAATAACAAGTCTTGTATTGCATAGTCACATATATAATGTTTAAAATTTTTAAGTATTTGATATGTATGATGATGAAAATAGTGAATCTTCAGCATTATCACTGCTGCACTATTTTGTCAGATTTTGAGCTTCTAAGACCTGATTATCTCGTCTTGGGAATTTCAGCTATTGTGATGTGTGTGTGTGTATGTATATATATATATATATATATATATAAATATATATATATATATATATATAAAAGCCTGTATACGTGCCCAGGTTGCTGAGGAATGTTTGCTTTTCTGAGAACACCCTCCCTAAATAAGTTGCCCATTAAGGCTAAAGAGCATCTATCTGTCCACAAGGTGAGGATCTGTTGCTTTCTGCTAGCACAAACATCGGTGACTTCCCAACTATGCTGTATACTGGCATTGTCTTCCATGTTCAAATTTGAACCCAAATCTCATATGCAAAACGTTAATGCTGTGGCCAGTATGAGTGCTGCCCACAAATCATTTTAAAGAATTTTATCATGGACTAGCAGCATGGCCTGGTGTTGCCCGTGCTTGATTCAAAAATCGTACGACTCGGACAGCAATTGCTATCACTTGACTTAAAATATTTTTGCCCTTCCTTGCTTTTAAAGGAGTGCCCTTTGCCGTGCTGATGTTGCTACATGCCTTACTTCTTGCCTATCTCACACTGCAAATTTTTTCTAAGCTCTATACTAAACATTAAATCTATTACGAAAAAAAGAACTAAACAAAATGAACACGAAACGACCAGCTTTAAAAAAGGACTCGTAACTGGAAAAACCGAATGAAAAAAGACTGTTAACAAATACTTTTTCACACCCAACCCTGTTCTGCAGAATCAGAATCAACATTGAGTTCAAGCAAGCGAATGAGCCAATTGGAGTAAAGTGCCATGCAGATTTAAATATTTCCCACTTGTGACGAATGCAGCTATCGATTTTTTTGCATGCTAGTTAATGTTCATGTCAGTCAGCTGTTGGCTCTCACACTGGCCAATAGAATCTTCCTGCCTATTCGTGGCAGCCAGCTATAGGCTCTCACTCTGGCCAGTAGAAAATGGTTGCAAACTACATGAAAACTGCCATAGAAGCATGAAAAAATCAGTTTTCCACTATCGATGGGAGTTGGGAAATGCAAGGTCAGTCTTGGCCTTTCCGCTAACGTGGAGCATGTGCATGTAAATTTTGGTGCAAATCCGTTGACAATTGCGGCTTTGCATTCCACACACACACACACACACACACACACACACTGCCCTTTATAGATAAAGATTATTTGATTTCTGTGTTTGCCCACTCCTGCTCTAACCACTCAGCCATAAGTATTTGAAGAGAAACAAAAAAAAAAAAAAAAAGCTCCATATTATTATATGTACTACATTTCCATCAAATACAGCTGGACTATTTGTTAATGAAAGTTATTTTTGTCATTTTTGCCCAAAAGTATTTTACTATATTTTGATGATTATGAATTTTTTTTTTTTTTTTTTTTTTTTTTTTTTTTTTTTTTAACAAGTTGACCAATGTTGAAATCCTCACAGTATTTAATATTGTTGAAGTTATCGCTAACATTATTTTTGTTGGAATTTACAAACTCTGCATTTCATTCAATTTCATAAAACAATTGATGAAATTTAAATAAACTTATTTGTTTGCTAAAATACTTTGACAAAAACCTTACTTCAGGATTTAAAAATTTCTTTAATTTAATTTTATAGGACTTCATGGTAAACATTTTTTTTTTTTTTTTTTTAAGAAAATTTCTTTTTTTCCTTTTTAACAGCAAAGTATAAATTCTTAGGATTTCTTACTCTTGAGAATACAACTGGCAATGTGTAAATATTTCTTTCTGGAACCAAATTCCAACATTTTGAAACGTTTGGCCTCGTGATTTGTTTATAGTTCTTGCAAATGCAAGGTGAATTAGAAACTAGATTCTTTGTACATATAAAAACTTGAAAGATATGCAGAAACAGTACTGCATTTTTATTAAAGAATTATTTATTTTAATCATTAAATTGTTTTTAAAATGGTCTATTTTGTATGTCAAATAATAAAACTTAATTTTTACCAAAAAATTTATTGTACTAAGTTACATACCCTAGTAAGACCAACTCTACTTTGTACCACCTTGCCTGTTTGCACTTCTCCCCAAAGTTTCGTTTCAATTGGTCAATGTATGGCTATTTTAGAGAGTGTAACAGATGGACAAGTCACAGAATTTTATATATAGCTTCTGTTAGAAAAAAAATTTTCTTTTTTTAAGCTTTTTATTTTTGCATTAAACCCATTTGAGCTGAAGTTGCACAGAATATAAATTGGAGTCCCACATTTGGGAATAAGACAGTAAGATTTTGTTTCAGAATAAAGATTCATCCCTAAAAAAACTAGTTTGGTTCCAAACAGCAATAATATTTAAAGGGCTCTGGTGAAAAATGATGCAACAATCCTAATTTCAGATAATTTAAGAATGCTTATTACAGGCAAATGCTTATCAGTGGGGATCAAGTGTTATGGAAGCATGCATTAGTTTTGTTCAGTAATCTAAAGTAGATTTGGTTTTCCATTGTATCACTTCTAATGAAAAAATACCTTTTTCAATGTGAGGAGCTGGATAAGAAGCAGAAGTATCAACTGAAATTGCTATTATCATTTATGATGTAGCTTCCTTCAAAATGGCCAAACAATGATCACAGACCTTGGAACTATTCATTGGTCAGTGCCTGATTTGTTTTCTGGGAAATTTTTTTGTTACTGCTTGGTGACATATTAATCCTGGTAACGTGGAGATGGTGACTTTGTTGCTACAATGTACCTATCCATCTGGCCTCTGTTCTTTGGATTCACTTTTTTTATTTAGCCTATCAACGATAATGTAAAGTACAGTAATAATTATAGATTTCTATCTGTAACCCATTAATGGGTTAAGTATACTGTCAATCTTCAAGTTGAAGCTTTTAATTGAATTATTGATTCTTTGAATAAAGTATTCTTTTGGAATCGTGACCTTTTTGCTAAGGTTGCATGTATTGTGGCAAAAAGTTTTGTTTTTCATAAATCAACAGTCATTTTCATTAAATAACACTAGTTTCTCTAACCATAAAACAAGTTTTTATATTTTTCATCTAGAATTTTGCTTTTCCTTTTTCTCTCTCTCTCTCTCTCTGCAGTGATTGAAATATAAAGAGAATTCGCTTTGAAATATAATTAAGACCTTTTTCTTTTTTTCATCAAGCTCGGAAATTCAAACTCTTCCTAAAACACCATCTGCTAAGAAACGCAAGGGAAGAAAAAGAAAGAGTGATGTGCCATCTTTTATCCGAAGATCAAGGTGAGAAACTAAAATTGTAAACTGGAATAAACTAGATTAGTTGATATTTGGTGTGAAGTGTTCTCTGGAGGTTGCTGTATTAATGGCGTGTAACTAAAGTATGTAGAGAACACTATATAACAACATTCTTTTTAGAGTATATGAGGTGAAAAGAATCCAAAAATAACTGCTATTTGAACAACTACAAAAAAAAAAAAAAAGTGAATAAATGCTATAATTGTTTTTGCAATTCAAATTGTTGTTATAGGCCAAGATGTGTACCAATTATAGAAGAAAAAACTGAAAAGATTGTTAGATTAAATTTTATTAATCATAAAAACTTTTCTTCATACTGAGCCAATACTTATATTAACATTTAAATGAAGTATTGAAAGTAGGTGAGATAATGTGAAATTTTAATTTTCTTGCTTGCAGCGTTTTTCCAAAGAGTGCTGACCAATCTCTCAATGACTCTTACAATGCTGAGAATGTTCCTCCTCCCCGGTCGAATGCTACACGTGCTACTAGGAACCTCCGGTCACGTCAAAAGGCAGATACAAATGCTGGCATTTCCACCTGCAATACGTCTGTTTTGCGGGCTAGGAATCAACGTAATGCTTCTGCTCGGAACAACACCTACACTGAACCAGAGTTGAGCCCGACAAAAGAAATTCCAGAGTCACCTGTGCAGAAACAACAAGAGGAACAGCCTCCCCAGTTGGATGAACCTAAAGAAGATACAGCCCAGACAAAGATGGATATCAGTGAAGACATTGTAACTAAAGAGACAGAGCAAAGCTCCCCTGTAGTTGCCAAGGTAAGTATTTTGTTTTTCTTCCTCTTGCAAATTTTAGTTGTTTAGACTGAATCATTTATACTGTCAGGTAAATTACCCTTACCCATAAGCTAGCAACTTAAAAAGGACTAAAATGCAGAGATTTTGTGTGATATATATATATATATATATATATATATATATATATATATATATATTTTTTTTTTTTTTTTTTTTTTTTAGCACATTACTTAAGTTTTATTATGCCAAATATTAACAAAGAAAACAAAAAAAACAGTCCATTTGATCAGTTTGTCTGCCTGAAATCTCGCTCGCCAATTATAGCTTCTAAAAAGGCAGGTGGTTATTAATCCCAAGAATAAATTTTATTCTTAAACCATTCAAATATCCTTTCAAATGGTCAAGGATCAGGTTTCCAGTTCACTCTGTGTTTGCAAGAACTAACAAATCCAAACACTTCAAAAAATTTGAATTTGGCTCCAGAAACAAATATTTATGCATGGCCAGTTGTATCTTGCCAAGCTCAGGAGTAAGAAATTCTGAGAATTTATTCTTCACTGTTAAAAAGAAATTTTCTTAAAACATATTATTTATCATGTTGTCCAGGAAAATTAAACTGCGAAGTAGTTTTTGCCAAAGTATTTTTTTCAAACAAATCAGCTTATTCAAATTTCATTGATTGTTTTGTGAAATTGAATGAAACACAGTTTGTAAATCTCAACAAAAAACATTACAGATAACTTCAATAATATTAAATACTTTGAGGATTTCAACACTCGTCAGTATGTTGCAAAAAAAAATTGTAGTGGCTTAAAAATTCAGTTTCTACTATTTTGTAATATAAAGTTAGCAGATATATGCAACAAGGGGTCCCAAGAAATTATGTGCATTTCTTAAGTAGGTAATTGAGCCTTACTTTGCAAGATCTCTTGCAGCTCAGCAGTTAAGTGTACCTTGCTTGAAGATGATTTACCAGGATAAAGAGTACTGTTTTGATTGCCTCTGACCAGATGTCTACTTAAACACATGTACCAGCTAAATATAATGTTTATTGTAAGCATTAATAATTCAAAATGCATATAGAAATACATAATGAAAAATTTTGTTAATGACTTAAAAAAAGATTGGGTAATTACAGTGCCTAGTTTTGACAAACCAGATGGAAAACTCCTGTCTTAACCTGTTGCACAGATTGTAGCTTAAATTTCTTACCAGCGAGCAGCAATACATTTTTATACTCTTTCAATTAGTATGTTTGTTTAAAATTGAATACGTCAATTAACAGATAATTGAGTAATCTCCCCTTGACCAATTACATGGAGACGAGAAAGATTGAGAATGGTAGTGCTAGTAGATAATCTACATAGCAGCAGTATGAGCCAATCAGGATAAGCTGGTGGCAGGCGCTAGTTATGTAAGGTCAGTGTTTAGAAGACCTTGGTGCTGACAACCTGGATATAGGAAAGAGGAAAATGACAATTGGTAGCAGAGCAAACAAGATGGCATGCAACATGGAGATTCCATCACAGTTCAGAGAGGAAAAGAATGATTATGATACCTGGAGAAAGGATTTAGAACTTGTATATGGACTTGCCAAAGAGAAGTGGGTTATTACTGTTCATTCGAGTTTGACAGGAAGAGCAAGACTGCATCATCATCTGAGTTGGCCATTTCAGAAATAAGCACAGAAATGGGATACCAGCTGCTAAGTAAGAAGCTAGATATAGTTTTTCATGAGGATAAGAATTGGAGATCCTTTAATGCCTACTTGGCATTGGAAGGTTTGAAAAAAAGAGCCTAATGACATCATCAATGAATATTTAAATGAGTTTAATAGAAGGGTCTATAAACTCAAAGAAGTAAATATAAAACTTCCTGATGCTATACTAGCATGTAGGTTGTTAAAAAGCTGTAACCTCGGGGATTTGCATTTCCAACTGGCCTTATCAACACTGGTGATGACATTTGATAATGTGCAAGAAACATTACAAAAAAAAAAAAATTTACAAAAAATGGTGGAGTATTGAATGTTCCTGAAAGGGAATGTGCCCAAACATTGGTGAAAAATGAACCTAGTATGGAATCTGGAGCCTTCTACAACAGAAGGAACTGTGGACAATGCAAGACACGCAGAAATTACAGAGCAAAGTAAAGCGGAGGAAAAAATAACCCACTTGAGATGATGGCAAAATTACACAATGTTTTATTTGTGTATCTCGCAAATCCCCAAGTCAATGATAGAGAAACAGAGGAAGTACAGATATTATTGATGGTATCAGATAAACCACTAAATGAAGTCATGGATACCTTAACAGCAGAGGTGATGGGTTTTGTTCTTCTAGACCTAGGTTGATCAAAGACAGTGTGTGGGAGAGGATGGCTTGCCTGTTTCTTAGATACCTTTGATGCAAAGAAAAAACAAATGTTGATGACTGAGCCATCCAATTCCACATACAAATTTGGAGATGGATAGAGAGTAAAATGTGTCAGCATGCCTTGTGTTATGGCTGGAAAAAATATGATCATGACAGATATTGTGAACTGCAATATACCATTGTTGTTGAGTAAATCATCAATGCAACAAGCAGGTATGGTTACTGACTTAGACAAAAGTATAGTTAACGTGTTTCTTGAATCAAATATGTCCAGTCAAGGACATTACAGGATCCCTATTTTTAGGCCACCTACAACAGAGACATTACAGAGAGTACTTTTAGTTGAAAAAAATATGGACATGCAGAAAATTGCACTCAAATTGCATAAGCAATTCACACATCCTTTGTATGAAAAACTCGTGCAACTCCTTGGTAAAGCTAGATGTGAAAATGCCCTAATTGAAGCAGTAAAAAGGATATTTGAGTCTTGTGTTACTTGCAAATGTTATAAAAGACCCAGCTTTGTCCCATGGTGTCTCATCTCTTCATTCGATCAAACTATTGTAATGGATTTGAAATCTTGCTAATGGTTATTCTTTAGTTATGGTGGAACAACAGTAATAAATAAGGAAAAGTGAAAACACTATAATACATGCTATATTCACCAACTGGATTGCTTATTTTGGTACACCTGGATCTTTCCTAATGAACAATAGTGGTGAATTTGATAATGAATCCATGAGAGATTTGGGAGGCGCATTTGGTATCTAGCTTCTGAACACAGCAGACCAGAGCCCATGGAGTAATGGCACCTGTGAAAGGCTGAATCAAATATTATCAATAAGTGGAAAAGGAATTCTTGAGGAAACTAATTGTAAAGATAGTTCTGGGCTGTAGCTGCAAGAAATTCTTTGCATAATTTCAGTGGGTTTTCACCAAATCAGTTGGGTTCTGGAAGAAATCCACCTTTGCCCAATGTGATAAATGGCACACCATCAACATTTAGAACAAAAATCAAATTCTCTATTAGTGACAGATAACTTAAATGCCATACACAAGGCAAGAGAGAAATTTATTAAAAAAAAAAAAATGAAACGAGAGATTACATCAAGCTCTCCTTCAAGTGAGATCAAAAAGTGCCCTAGAATCACTAAAAAATGGAGGCAGAGTATATCACAAAAGAAATGAAAATGATAGATGGCATAGCTTAGGAGTTGTTATTGGTCGTGACATAGGTACTGATTAGATATGGTGGTACTTATTATAGTCCGCATTTTTAGATGTATTGAGTGGCAGAATGGAGAGACATCTTTAGAAATCCCAAAAGAAAACAATGAACAAGAAGAAACTAGCCACAACATTGATTTGGGGGTGGGTATGAACATGATAATACAATTCAGGGTGAAGACAGTGGAAAAAATGTGGAGGCGCCCACAGGGAATGTTCCAAAGATTGGCAATTACATGAAATATTTTCTAAAAAATGAGTGGATAACTTATTGCAAAAGTTCTCTTGCATGCTGGAGAAGCAACAGGTCAATACAAGAACTATTTTAATATCTGTAGGATTGCTACAGAAACAGATGAAGGGATTGATCTGGAAAGTGATGTGAATGAGTGGCAGCAGGTTGAAGAGGAGGATGCCTTGGCAGCTTCTAAGGTCAACAAATTATTCAATGAAAAGGCAGCAGAGGTTGAAAATTGGAATAAGTACAAGGTGTTTGAAGAGGTAACAGATGAGGTGGCAACCATATATATCAGTGAGATTAGTGGACACAGAAAAGATAAGAGGGAGTGAAAATAATGAAAGCTTGCTCAACTAGTAGCAAGTGGTTTCTGGGGGCGGGGAAGCAGATTGCAACAGATTCCCCTACTTGTTCAAAAGACTCTTTAAGACTTGCAATATTCATGGTGTCCAACTTTTCTTGGAAATGTAATTCATTGGATATCAAGATAACATATTTACAAGGAAATACAATTAATAAGAAAATTTATTTAAAACCTCCAAAAGAATTCTATAGTGGACAGTTGTGGCTACTGAAGAAAACCATATTGCCTAGGTGGGGTGCAGCAAGAGCATGGTACATTAAGTTAAAGGAAATATTGCTGGAAGCTGGAATGACAGTGTCAAAGTTGCATTCTTTTATGTTAATGTTACCGGTGAGTTGTTTTGGAATTGTATGCATTCATGTTGATGATGTCTTTTGGTCAGGAATGGAAAGGTTCACCTCTTTGTAGGATCAATTAAGTTTTCCATTGTAGCTCATAGCAGCAACACTTTTAAATCTATTGCATTGAATACTGTACAGAAGAAAGGCTGGATGGAAAATCACCAACTAGATTAAATAAACAATTTAGAAATGATAAACATAACTGGAAGAAAGCAAAACGATAAAGTCAATGAAGCAGAATTAAAGAACCTGGAGTGAATGTTGTTGGTGAGTCGAACTGGGTGAGTGCTCAAACACGTCCTGATGTGTCTTTTGATTTGTGTTAACTGACCGAGCAACTAGGATGGCATATATATATATATATATATATATATATATATATATATATATATATATATATATATACACACACACACAGAGTGAATAATAAAGTAGTAAAGATAATACAAAAAAAAGCACAATCAGCTTAAAGTATTTTTCCTTTGGACAACATAAAAAGAACTGGTGATTGAATGCTTTAGTGATACATCATTTGATAATTTGGAAGGAGGGGAATCTCAAGGAGGCTATGTCATCTTCCTCACTAATAATGAAAGATGTTTATTGACATTTGAGACAAGTTTGATGAGTTGTGAAATCTATTATGGCTGCAGAAACTTTGGCCCTGCTTGATTCTACTGAAGCAGGAATATCTCTAAAGTCTACTTCGAAAGAAGTATTGAAGTTTGGTAGAGACTCGCCTATTGTGAAATGCTATGTTGACAGTAAATCCCTTGTTGAGTCTGTGTACTCACAAAACTAGGTTCAAGATAAAAGGCTCATGATCGATATATCTGTTGTTAAGGACATGATTGAGCAAAAGGAGATCCATGCAGCATCCTGGGTCCAGTCAGGCCACCAGCTGGTTAACGTATTGACCAAGAGGAGTGTATCACCAGATGCCCTGACGGATGCCATAGAATTGGTTGGAGAAGAGAAAGATTGAGAATGGTGGCGCTAGTAGATGATCTACATAGCAGCAGTGTTAGCCAATGAGGATCTGCCTTGAGGTAAGCTGGTGGCAGGAGCTGGTTATGTAAGGTCAGAGTTTAGAAAACCTTGGAGCTGGCAACCTGGATAGAGGAATCTATGCTAGAGGAAATTGACAGTTGATATCAGAGTAAACAAGATGTCATGCAATATGAGAAGACTCCATCACAGTTCAGAGAGGAAAAGAATGATTATGAGACCTGGAGAAAGGATTTAGAACTGTGGACTATGTATACAGACTTGCTAATGGAGCTCAGTGTTTTGAAGATCTCAGAGCTGACAACCTGGATAGAGGAATCTATGCTTGAGGAAATTGACAAGAAGAACCGTTGAAGTGGCTACAACTACTGAGTTTGTGAAGTGAACAGAAACTGTGAATTTACTGTTATGCAATCACACGTTAATGTTCATTGAACATAGCTCTTACTTACATTTAAATTATCGTTCTGCTTGACAGAAAGTTATTTATTAGAATTATATTTTGTGTGTGTATGTGTATATGTATATATATATATATATATATATATATATATATATATAATATATATATAAGTCTTTAGAGCATTTGCATTCTGGCTATGAGAACCAGGTTCAAATGTCACCATGGTTGATCACTTTGTCAGTGAAGCAATCCCAGCATGCAAAACTGTAAGGAGGAGTAATAGAGATTTACTAGCCACCCTGGCAGATGGGTGTGCTCAGAAACGGGTAGTAGCCAGCTACAGAGATTACATCAAGCCATTTCAATTGTAAATGGATGAGACCTTTCTGCCAATCTAGTACTGCACTTCATGAAGTCTAGGTACCATGGAGGAAAATTCATCGGAACACTTACCATTAAAGTAGTTATAGAAAAGGCACGGAAGCTACATCACAGTGGTGAGTTCTACAAGTGAGAAATACAAGAAAAAGACCCGGTAGCATCGAACTTAATTACACCTAAACCAATTCAACTGTAAATTGATGCGACCGTGTTGTGAATCTAGTACAGCACTTGAATTCATAAAGTCTAAGTACCCTAGCCAAAAGCTCATCTGATCAATTACCATGAAAGTATTTATGGAAAGGGGACAGGGAAACAACTTTACGATAGTGGGAAAGTGACTGAAGTTGAGATGCCAAGTCAGAACCAATAAGATTGCTGATTCTTTTGATTTTTATCAAGAATTTCTAAATGTATAGCAGGAGCACCAGACCATATATGGCAGCAATATTTGAGGCATGAACAAATGGTAGACATGTACATCTGTAAGATAGATTCTGGAGATGATGCAGTGAACCCACTTTCCTAGCAACTGATTCAATATAATCTTTCCACTTCATGTTAGCTGAAAACGTTAATCTGAGAAGGTGCAATGAGTCACTCTACTACAAGTTAGCATCAGCCATGCTGATTATATAAATTTATAACAATAAAATTTGTCAAAAACACAGTTGTTATTGCACACATTGTTTGATGTAAAATATAAAATGGAGAACAATATACAATATAAGAAAGATACTTTACTAAAATTTTATTAAAGAAATAGAATAAAGTTTAACCCCCCCACCCCCCGCCCCGCCCCGCCTTGGTCTTTTTATCAGGAATTTATTTTTGTCTGCATGTAGTTCTTGGCTTGTATTTAACATTTCTACATCACCTATGTCCTACAAAATTGCCAGTTATTCCAAGATGCAGAAATTACATCTTTCCTAACTGCCAATCACATGCTCTGTACTTAGAATCTCTCACTTGATAATAGGATCTGGCTGGCCTGCTTCTTTAATTTTCCAATAGTAATGTTGTGGCATTTTGATACCTTTCATTGCCCATACTAAATTTATGATTGTAGCAATTTTTTTTCATTTTTTTTTTTTTTTTTTCCATTCTCTCTCTCTCTAGCTCCAATATTAAGACTTTTTGTTATCGCTACAGATTATGGCCATATACACCACATTTTTGGACAAACTTCCTCTTTAATTCGGCAGTCATGTACCTTAGAATTACTAGCTGTATTTTCATTGATTTCAAGTATTTTATTATTGTGACTGCTAACCATCTCATTTAACCACGTTACCTAAACAGCTGTATCAATATGAAAGTCAAGAGACAACTACCAAAAAATACATACCTAACACACTAGGGTGAAATGCATTGTCTGTAAATTTTTGTTTGGATATTATTCTACATTCTATTAACACCCTTTTATTATATATATATATATATATATATATATATATATATATATATATATATGCACAAGGATAATGGTTAACATCAGTAACAAGTGGAATCGACAAGTTAAATGTTTCCTTCACTTTGTACTTATGCCTTTACAAAAAGCACAACTCCATCTTCCTCCAGCTATGGGTTAAATAGCAGCACGGTCTGGGCTCTTTAGCTTTCAGTGGCAACCAGTCTATGAAAAAAAAATCTGTTTGAGGATTTTGTGGCACACTATACACCATTTCTCTGTTATCAATTATACAGAAATGTGTTGTTGGATCTACACAAGGCTTCACCACTATAATCATCTCTGGCTTCAGTTTTTGTACAATGTTCTATTCAAAAATGAGTAAATTACAATAAAAAATTAAATGCAGACCTTGTTGGCTGAATTTAACAAAAATTGTTTAAATTAATTCGTTCTGCACATGTGTGTATAATGAAATAATTTTAATTTTGATATTTGAATTGGAACCACTTATGAGGCCTGAAGATTAAAGTGAGCTAATCCATATTGGATAATAGTTCTTAGAAATATTATACGTTTTAAATGTCCACAAAAAACCCTTAATTGATCTATTATGTTGTTATGGGTTAAAATGACTGGGTTAATTTTATTGAATCTAGCTAATGTAAATTTACAAAACAGAGATGAAGAAAAAAAAGTGCCTTTTACATTCTTTGAATTTTAAGAAATTTTGTTTTCCCTCCTCTACAGATTGTTTCCCCTACTGAGATGGAAGCCAGTCCTCACCAGTCTGTGATACCATCTCCAGCCAAACCTGTTGAAAATTCTGAAGTCTCTGCTACTAACAGCAATCCTAGTGAATGCAGAGTAAATAACAGTAGCTTTGTGATTGAAACTCCTTCTGAAGCAGAATCTGCCTTGAGCCTGCCTGTCATCTCAAGCCCTGCCAAAATTCCGATCTCAGACAAGCCAGAAGCAATGGACACAGACTCTGGTGTCACCAGTGATGATAAGGAACAGGAAAAACTACAGTCGGAGAACGGTGAACAAAGCGAGGCAAAAACAAGCTCTGAGGCTGATACAGAACCCGATACAGGCAGGCCATCAAGTATTTCTCCCTCGTCTGGTGAAGAAATGAACCAGCCTCCAAGGACTCGTACAAGAACTCGTAAGCAGCAGCAGCAGTCGATGCCAGTGGTCCAACTTCCTGCCCCCTGCAAAGAAAGCATCTCTTCAACAACCAGTGCAGAATCAAATGAGGCCCCAACACGGATGACCAGGTCAAGGATGCGTACAAAACAACCTGCTACTACAAAACCCGCCTTGGTCCCTGTAGCTGCTAACCCTTCTTCAGAAACTTGTGATAGTGCAATGACTGAGGATAAACCAGAAGAACCTCGGACTCGTACCAGGTGAGTAGATTAGAACTGAAACAAATGTAAAAGCAAATAACATGAATTAGATTTGTAGCAGAAGGAAGGAATAACAATGTCAAGAGTTTGACATTAAAGAAAAAAAATTTTAATAAAATGTTTCTAATATTAGGTATGCTAAAATACTCATCTTTTATGGCATAGTGTTGGTGCTTGGAGTTGAAATAGTACAAACGAACACTTGTACAAGCATCTCAAAGCTCTATTTTGCAAGTTAATGAATATCTCTGCATGTAAATTTTCCAGAACACGGCTTCAGAAACGCAAAAGTGATGACCTGGAAGGCAAAGCAGACAGTGACACAAAGCGACAGTGTACAGAGTCCAAACCAGCCAATGAGGAGAAACGTCGTAGTTCCAGGCTCAGTGGAAAGAAATCTGCTAAGGAATCTCCAGAAGATGCTGATGCAGAAAACTCTGATCTTGATGATGCAGATGTGAGTAGATGTTATGATTTTTTGTAGATTTATATATTTTTTTATACTTGAAATTTTTTTTAATTATAACTTTAAGACAGACATATTGTTGAAATATAAACATTGTCTGTGTGTGTGTGTGTGTTTTGTTTTGTTTTTTTTTTTTTATCACACCGTTCTCTTAAGTCGTAAATAATAAGAGTTACGTCAATCATTTTATTATTTTTATAATTATTATTGAGTGTGTGTGAGAGAGATAGTAACATACTAATAAAGAGATACTAATGTACAAATATATATAGCTCAGTATGCCCATCATGGTACCCAGTCTGTTTAGGATTTGAGGCAATCCACAGTCCAAGCCAGCCACTGAGGAGAAACTGCATAGTTCCAAGCTCAGTGGAAAGAAATATGTGCACAATATGGTGATGGGTTTTCCTAAAAGCCACACATAACCTTGAAGTTGGTGGCCAGTGAAAAAATAAGTGTTTGATCAGGTAACCTAGTTCCCTTAGATGGTCTCCCATTGAGGGTAATCCCAAATGTCAAATCACATTGGCTGCCTTATCCTTCAATTGATCATGATACTCTCTTTTTACTCTTGCTCATAAACTGATGCAAAGTGCATCAGTCTCTACGGGACTTGTGAAAATGGTTATGGTCAAGCAACTGACAATTAAATTTGTAGTACTGAATGAGAGATTTACTGTTGGCCATCTTAATTCACCAAGACAAAATGTGTGCAGGTTAACACTTTGCATCAATTTAGATCAGAAGCCAGGAGAGCTATGCCTTTTCTAACGGGGCATTTATGATTATGATAAAGTTTTACTTGAAATATTATCAAGTCTTTGATGGATATTGGAATTTTTTCTTCATATTTTTATGTTTAAAAAGTTGATCTGCTTCTGTAACCAAGTTCTTAATTAAAAATGATTTATCACAATCTTGTGAATCTTATAAAATATGAAGGAAGGTTTTTAACCTTACACTTCACATCTGACATCATTTTTGGATTATTAAATAACTTTTCTTTTTGTTCAGGTGACAAGGACGGAAACTTGGACAGAAAATTGGACAGCACCTTCCAATTTAAAAACACCTAGTAATATGTCTAGTAAGTATTTTTGATTGTGATTATTGAACACACAGGCTAATTACAAAGACACCTTGAAGTTTTAAAATTACGTACAATTATTGATACAAAATATAAATTCCTAAAATATTGATTCACCAAAGAATTTTCTCTGTCATGTCATCATTTCAGCTGAAATGTGTATTCTATTATAAAAAAAATGATTTTGAGTTTTGAAATTGTTAGAACCACAAGTTAGACAAGATGTTGCATGGAGTGAAACAAGTGATAGTCTGAAGGGGATAAGTTCAGAGAAAATATCATATGTAAAAGAAGTTAGCATTCAGATTTTATTATTCTTGGTTGTATCTTATTTGCAAGTCTACAGAAAATCTTGTACTGCAACAAGATTATTGGTCAACTTTGTTATGTGGACGGGACTGGGTATCTTTTCTGTTCCAATGCATTATTTAGGCAAGCTGGTTGCTTGCACTAACATTTCAAAATAACACTTTTATCCAAGTTCCTGCAATTCATAGTAAAGAAATTCTTTTGAATCCTTACAAATTTTTGTTTGCTATATACATGAAGAAATGACTTCCACATCCAATTTTTTGATATTAACCCCTTTTTTTTTTCTTTCTTTTTTTTTTTCATTTCAGGTTCTCGAAGCTTCTTAGCGTGAGTTAGAAAATTTATTTCCTTAATTGAGTTGTATAATACATAACAAATGAGTTATTAATTCTATCAAATTACTTTAATCTTTACAGAAATGTGTACTTTATCTTTTTAAGATAATTTCAAGATTTTGAGATGTGATAACTGTAAGCAAGCTTCATACAGGTCCTTAAAAATTGACAGGACTTTTTCCAGGGCTTGAAAAATCCTGGAATTTTCTAAATTGGTCTGTCCACACAACCTTTTCCTTAATTCATGAAAGTCAGAATGCCAAATCCCTGAAATCTGGCTGTTTTACAAGCTAAAATTTTTATTTTTTTTTTACCATCAGTAATATTTATCATTTTTTAACATGGGTTTGTTTCTTTGATGAGAATGAGTTCATGACTTCATAATTACTTCTGTATTTTCTCGCCTAGGGGACGAGAAAGCATATGAAGGCTTGTCTTATCCTAGTTGCTACCTTTACTCAACAAGAGAAAAGGGAAAGCAAAGATAAAAGGTGCGAGAGCCAAGTAAACATCCCCACCAAAGATAAATTAATACACTCATTGAATTTATAATTGAATTTTACAGAATAAATTTTAGTAGAATCTTGGAAAATTTATCAGTATTTTTTTTAAATTTGAACAATTGAAGAAATTTTATTCACATGTCAATTTCAAAAGTAAAATATCTTCTTTGGTATCTAGGCATCAGTAATGATACTTTATGTGTATGTATATGTAAATTAAATTTGTCTAGCAAGTCAGCAAGTCTGATTGTGACAACATCATCAGTTTGAGGAGGAGCTCCTGGAAATATTGCTTTCAACAATTTCAGCAAGCATTGAAGACTGTCTGGACACGTGGTTCTACACTTCTTTGTCTAGAAACATATAATATTAAAAACTGTAGAAAGTTGTTTGCAGATTGCTTGTACTCTCTCATGGACAGCCCTCAGTGGAGAGAGGTTTCTCAATCAATAAGGAAATTTCCACTGAGAATATGAAACCACAGACTCTGGTCACACATCACATTGTCACAGACTATTTGGCCACAGTTGTAGGTGCTGGAAATGTTCCCATGACTAAGGCTCTTCTCTGCAGTACTTGCAATGCCAGAACAGCATACAACCAATACTTTGAGAGGCTGAGAAGAAAAAAAGGCTGGAAAAAGCAGCTGGACAAAAACGGAAATCTATGCTGATGAAAATTAAACTGAAGACCAAAAGATAAAAGCTTGAAAGTTGCACACAATATTTGTTCAAGTCAGCTGACAACTATAAAGAGAAAGCTGAGCAGACTCAGAACTTCACACTTATTGCAAAGTCCAATGCCATAGAAATGGAAGAGGAGTTGAATACTAAACTAGATGAATTGAAAAAAATTGTGTTCTGTGCAATGTGCAACAAAAGCCATGAGTAGTAGGGGTAGCTAAAATGTTTTTTGTGAAAATTTCTATTTTTAGTTCTGTTCATTAAAGCCATCATACTTCACAGGAAATATGCAGCAGTCAAGAATTTTTGCGATATTTATCAACCATGAATAGCTCAAGATAGCTGAAATGTGTAGCAGTAAGAATTAAAATTTTCAAGTGTAGTAGAACTCAAAACTAGAATGCTACGCAAAATGTATAGCATAACTAGTTCTGCATTCAGTTGTGTTTTAGCCTTCAACACTTTGATTTCTTCACTGCTTTCAACTGTTCCATGTGACTTGAATTATTAGAACTAGCTGTAGCTTTTCTTTGAACATCTCACCTGTCAGACTATTAAAAGATAAATCACAAAGTTTGTTTTAAATTGATGTCCATTCACTTTGTGTATGTGTGCATGTCAGTTTCAGTCCTTGAAACTTCTTAACATAGTCTGGAAAAGTTCTGGAATCTTTTTTACACAGATCTGTGGGAACCCTGTGTAAGATTCTAAAAGAAATATCTTTATTTTCATCTGGAATTTGATTATACTGCAAGCCTTAACCTACCACAGAATATTAAAACTATTAATTTAAATGTTAAGCAAAATGGATTCTTAAATAGGATTAGTTCTGTTTTAACTTAACCTCTTTTCTTTTTTACTATAGCATGAACTCCAGTTACTTAAGTGCTAACCGAACCCCTTCACAAAAATCTTATACGCTCTATAAGGTAAGTTAAAAAGCAATCTCTCAACTTTTTCAGCTAATCGATTGTCTGATGGTTTTTATTTTGTTTGATTATTTTGAAGAGATAATTCAATCTTATAGTTTAGTGTCCCAAATTATTGCTAAATTATAAAATAGCAACTAAACTGATCAAAAAAAAGTACAAAATATCCAAATGTAAAACACTTAAAATATTTTAACTCTATGTGATATATTAAAGGAAACCTCTTTATTATATTGATGACGATAGGTCACATTTAAAAAAAAAATTGTAGATTTTCTTGAAAAAAGTTTTTTGTTAAATTTGATAGCATTTTGTTGCCCTCACAGCTGCCATGATAGTTTGACACAAAACTAAGTTTGCCAAATAGGTTCTAAGTGTGTTGGAATAAAATTCTCTTACTAGTACTTTTTATATATTTCTAAAAAGAAATACTTGACACTATATGCCTGATGTATGGGAAAAAAATAATCCCATTTTAGTTTTATGGTTAGCTGTGCAATATATGTTTTTTTGTTTATACAAGAATTTGAGACAAAACCATCATTGAAAAGTGAATTCTTATTTTATGGATAAAGTGATGGTCACAACCAAGTCTTATACTGTAAAATTCATAAAATGATTGTAACTGGACACGAAGAAGCTTATGGTAGGTTTTAACTTGGACTTTGTTGCCAAAATTCTTATCCAGAATGAACCATGGTAACTATACTGCCCATTATGAGCACTGTAATATTGATCACTACTTGTTGGAAAATAGTTTTCACTGTATTGCTGAAGGATATATCAAGGTATCATGATGATTTTAATCTATTCGGAACTATTTTGATATTTAAAGAGGGTGGGTAATATTTACCAACTCAAAACTTTTTTTTTTTTTTTTTTTTTTTTTTTTTTTTCAAAATTTGTCTCTTGATTGTCTGATACTTCCCCCTCCCCCAATAATAATCCATAATGTCTTTTAAGTTGAACACTGGTATTTTGTGTCTTTCAGTATATTCAGCAGAATAACTCCTTCACGGGCTCTGCCCAGAAATCAGGAACACAATCTCGTTTGAACCTCCTCTCTGGTTTGGGCAATATAAAATCTTTGCTTAAGAGAAACCAAACGCCTATTAAAGGAACTCCGAAAATTGGGAACAATCAAGTAAGCAGTTTTTAATCATTTATTCAGTTGACTAAGTCTTGGATGTAATATTTTTGTATTTAATTAAAATACTTGCTGAAAATATTGATTCTGAAGCTAACATATGATTCAGTTAATCTATTGTGACTTTTATACAATAACCGAGACATTGGATTTTCTGAAGAATAGGTACAATGGTGGTGGTCTGTTAATTCTCTATTAAAGCTTACTCCTGCCCCCACATGCATTTGAGATTTGTTAATAACCATAAGCTTCAGGAAATTTGAAATTCTTTTTTTGTTATTGGAAAAAACTTATTCACTTATTCCTTCTCCTTTTCTCGAAAATGTCCAGTAATGTGTTTTTGTAATGTTTCCTTGAAATATTCAGAGAAGGATAGATTTTAGTTTGCCAATTTTGAATGAGAAATCAAAAAAAAAAAAAACAATTAAATAAAGATGGACTAAAATAGGATATTTTTTTTTTTATTTTTATTTATATCCCCTCCTATTATTAAGCAGGAATATATTGAACAAAGAAAGCGAGAGTTTGAAGAAAAACGGAAGAAAGAACAGGAGAGGTTAATGAAGAGAGAAGAACTGCAAAAGATGAAAATGGAAGAGAGAAAAAGGTATGTTGTCTGTTTTTGCCTTTATCCAAATAACTGCTTTCTCACTTACGCTGTATGCTACTTTTTTTTCTTTTAAATCTTACACACACACACACACTGTAAAATGTTTCAAAACAGATGATATATTATTATGTAAGGAGGTTTGGTGCAAATGTATGTGAAATTTGTCTCCTTCCTTCCACATTTCTTATTGGGTACCTATTAAAGGTTGCAAATGGTTTTAAGTAGTTTGCTTCATTCTATTTTTTTTTTTTTTTTTTTCTTTTTCTCTAGGAAAAGGGAAGAGAGGATGCGTAAAGTGGCAGAGAGTAGGCAACTAAGAGAAACTAAAGAACAAGAATTAAAAGATAAGAAAAATAAGAAGTTGGAAGAGAAGCTTTCTGTCACTGATCGTCTCAGAGAAGAAAAACTCCGTGAAGAGCGGGAAAAACTGAGGCTACGGTAATTTTTTTTTTTTTTTTTTTTTTTTTTTTACTCAAATAACCTATTTTATTACACAATTTGTTGTTTGTTTTTATTAAATTTTGAAACTTTCTTATACCATATTTATTGGCTAAAAGTTCCTAAAGTTGGGAATAGGAAAAAAAAAAAATCATCGCCTTAAAAAAAAAAAAAATAATTTTAGGATGTGGTTCAGGCAGAGAATGTGGTTATAAACTTTTGATTCTTAAGTGAAAATTTAAACTTAAATTTTCTTTTTATTATTTCACTAAGCCATTACAGGATCTCCAAAATGAGTTTTTTTTTTTTTTTTTTTTTTTTTTTTTTTTCTTCTTCTTCTTCGGGTCCAGTCTCTTGAATTTTGCTCTTAGTGGTTAATCTTTGGCCAGCATCTTGTTGTTAAATGGTAGAAGTTAAATACTAATTTGACTGTTAAACCTGTTTTGTGGATGATTTGGTCATGGTCTCTTCCTTTTGCTTGTTTGGGGCAAAGTTTTATGTCTTTTTAAAACTAATCAATTTTTAAAATTCATTTCCAGATTAAAGAAACAGCAAGAAGCAGAAGAAAGACGTAATCAAGAGGACGAAGAACGTGCAAAGAAACTCAGGAAACAGGTAATGGCTGACGTTTATTTGCCATACGACAAATTGACCAGTTCTGTTTTTCTAAACACTTGCCACTTTGATTTTAACAAATATGAATTATTCTCATCTACTGAAATAGAAAAAATACATTCATGTAAGTTGCATCAATAATTGAAGAATGTGTGTGTATTAGGATAGATCGATTTTGGAACTGTAAAAAGAATAACTTGAGGAAAGTTGCAAAATAATGTAAAAAATTACCACAAAAAATATTTTTCTTCAAAACTTCATATTTATTTGAGGAATTGAACATAGACGAAATAAACTGCGTTTTTTTTTTTTGTTTTTTTTTTTAATCATCATATCAGTGTCACTGGAAACATGTGTAGGTTAAATTAAAACCGAGTCTAAAAGAAAAGAAAATAACGCTTAATAATGGATATTTTTGAGTTTATTATCTATTCTCTTAATAAATTAAATGAAATTACTAAAAATAAAAAATAAAACACACTAAAATATTTAGTTTAAAATACAAATAACTACTTATGAACGGCGTCGTTTTTACTGGATATTTTTTCGGTATTTACTGGTAGTAATTACCTCCTTGTAAGTTTGGTTTATTTTTGTTTACTGTTTACGCTTTTAACTAGCACAAATATCTATTTTATTTTTCATCAAAATATATTTAACTATTTAAAAAAATACAACTTTTATAATTATTGTAATTTGTTTATATTTTCAAAATTAATGCCTGTTAACAAGCTAATCCCAGAACTAACTCTACTTTTATGTAATAATAAACATTACTTTTAATTTAATAATGCATTTCAAACTTTATTTTCCAATTTATTTTGAAAAATATTTTTGTGTAATTTCTGATAATACATATATTTTCTTTGTCAGTAAAAATGGCAGGGAAAAGCATCCCAAAGAGCCTAGCATACCGTGAAATTTTGAAAATGCTATAATAGCCTTATCAAAATTCCATGGTATGCAGATTTTCAATTTGAAGTTTCCTTATAATTTCTACATTTTATTTCATTTTGATAAAACAAAATAACATTCCCCGATTTAAATAGTGAAATTGTTTGTTTTGTTTTTTTGGTTTTTTTTTTAAATCAATATTTAGTCCGTGCATTTTTGTCTACAATCTTTGATGCCAAATGCTCAAAAAAACCATTGAAGTGTTAGATCTAGTTTTTTGTATCAGTACTTAATAAGTCTATACACAACTTTCAGTACATTATTCTTTTTGATATTTAAAAAAAAAAAAAAAAGTGAAAATCAACCTACCCTTTTTTATATATATATATATATATATATATATATATATATATATATATATATAACATGAATCATTCATACAAAAAACAAATATAGAGGTTAATGATTTAAATGGCGAGAATACATCTTCGCAAACAATTTCAATAAGGTACACTAACCCCGAACCTGTATATGAATGATATGATTCCTGTTTATAAATTCCACTTTCATATGTCTTTTTTAGTCTTTACAAGCTTTCGTCTGTTCCTACAGACATCCTCAGGTATGGAAATAGATTTGTTCTTGTTTTTTACTTCTCGGTAATAACAGGACAACGAAAATAGAGATGTAATCCAAAAGAATGCTATGAGAAATGTGTTATTGTTTTGGAACGTGCAGTCGCAACGCTGAGTTTGGATTTTTATGGTTGTGCGTTTTTGTACAAATATAGTAATAGGAGAATTCTTTTGTACTGGTAGGTTTTCCGTCAATGTGGCATGAACTATATTGTTCAATAATTACACGAATGTCACACTTATCCGAAAGTTGCACGTTGGATCAGTTATTTTAATTTCTATTATAGGTGCAGTTCAATTTATAATTACATGAATCATTCATACAAAATATATATATATATATATGTCTCAGCATGATTGAGAACTTTTATTATAATTGTCCATTTCAACAGCTTGGGGACTCCATAATATTGAGCACTCTTGTAGATTTTAGTGGATTATTCTTCTTGTTTTTTTTTTTGTTTTTTTTTTTGTGTGTGTGTGTATATATATATATATATATATATATATATATATAGTTTATGAAAAACTAGGTAATCCGTATGGGTAAACCTAAGGAGGATAAAATCCAGAGCAAATAATTTAAATTATTTAATATATATATATATATATATATATATATATATGAAATGGACAAAGTCCGACAATTATTTTAGGTCATTTTTATGTTTATACATTCTTTTTATAGATACAAATATTTAAGTAAATGCTCTGTTTATAATAAACAGTATTAATAACATTTACCGGCCTGAATGTCAGAAATTTTCATAGAGCATTTACTTAAGTATTTGTATCTATAAAAAGAATGAATAAACATAAAAATGTCTTAAAATATATAAAATCTGAAACTTTCTTGGCATAGTTCCACACCTTCTCAGTCACTGAGAAGGTGTGAAATTATGCTTGAGGCTAACTCCTGGAATTTTGGTGTTGAAGTTACTTCAATTATAAGTAGAAGAGTTAATTAGCTTAAAAATTAAAAGGTTCTTTTTTTTTTTTTTCTTTACTTTCTTTAATATTTTTCATAAATCTGTTACAGGAAGAGGAGAACCAACGTCACCAGGCAATGCTTCAGCGTAAGAAGGAATATGAAGAACAGGAGAGGCTGAGAAAATTAGCAGAAGAGAAACGCAAATTAGAGGAACAGCGAGAACGGATGCTCGAAGCTGAAAAAGAGAAACAGAATGAATTGGAAAGACGACGAAAATTTGAAGAAGAGAGAGAACGGGAGAGGCTCAGGCTGAAAGAGGAAAGGTGAATCTTAGTTGCTACTTTTGTTTTCCTCTTAGGGCAAATCAAATACTTCACTTGGTGGCTTCTTATTTAGGTGTGCAGCTTTTGAATTTGATTTGGTGTAAGTTATTGTCGTTTGGAATGAGAAATTTGAGAGCCATGTTTGAATTCCATCCAAGTTCACTTACATGCAAAATACTCTTGGGAAATTATATGAATCTATCTCTTCTCTCCCTAGATAGGGGTTAAACAGACTGGGTTCTATAGCCTTGGTTGGCAACCACTCTAAAGATGGTGACTTGATAAAATCACCCATCTCACAGCAAGCTTGGGTCACCCATGCTGATGCATCGGCCCATGAAAACAGTAACTAAAATTCTTCAGTCATGAGTTGTGCTTTCTGCCACAGACTAAGAAAGCATTTTACTTTATTCTTTAAGCTTATTGTATGAGGCTATAAGTGGAATGTTATGTCATCTTCAAACTGCTTTGTAACAATTTTTGAGATCACTGTTAATGCTTATCTCAGTTATTTTGCAGTCTTGTGTGAATCTTAAATAATGAGTAGATAATAAACCGATCTCAAGTGATCAGCTTAGTTATATTGAAGGACTTTGATGAGGTGTGGCATAGAAGATTGCTGCATAAACTCACAAACTTGTGGAATCTCAGGAGGTGCCTTCTCTGGTACAAAGCCTTTCCTATCAGGTAGGTTGATAAAGGTTTTCTGAAGCACATAAGATCAATGTTAGCATCCCCACCCACAAGCCTTTCTCCTAAACCCTACTCTCTTTCTGTTTTATATTAATAATATGCCCGAGAACATTCTCAGATTGTGTGTGTGTGTAATATATATATATATATATATATATATATGAAGTGCACCTCCAAAAATCTAGATGGCCAGAGCCTGTTAGCTGATCTAGTTCTAACAGCTCAATGCTGGGGAAAAAAAACTGGCTTGTATCATTCAATACCTACAAAACAAAGCTAATAATGTTTCATCACCATTGAGCAAACTCTAAATTTGCTCCAGTCCTGAAGAGTGGTTGTACTCCCAATAAGGGTCCTTATCTCACACATATAGCAGGGACAAAAGCTCACTCGAAGCTTCAAGCAGAACTCGTATTCTATCATTGCTAAAGAAGCTCAGTGTGGTTGGTTCCTTTTTCCTGCTCCAGAAAGTACCAGACTTCTGCCATGCTGTATCTTTACAAAAGCCAAATCAGACAAGAAAATAGAGTACTGCTACTGTTGCCCTCCTTGTTTTCCCGCATTGACAGTTCAAAAGTGATTGTGCAGCCCTGTGAATGATGAATTATTTTCCACCCTGCAACCCCTTCCCCATAGGTGAGACATTGCTAGCCTTTCGCTACTCTATCCTGATTACTATGACAGATGTTCAGATGAGCTACATTCCTCAATTCAATCCATCTTCACTTGGACAACTTCTCCAGAAATGTCGCATTGTGGAACCGACTCCTGAGAGGATGCTTCCTTGATATATCTTCATAATAACCTGCTTCATACTTCCTCTCTTTACATCCTTGAAATAACCTCATTCAGTAACTCACTACTTTGAGTGTCTCTTGGGCTTTGTATTGTGCATACAATAGTTTGAAAAAAAAGTGAATGAGGTGTTAAAATGAATACAGAACTATGGAATCCAGTGGTTCTTATCTGAGCTCTGATCTTTTTAATATTGATGTAATGTTTGATATTATTTCGACTTCAAAATGCAAACTGTTTTTCTATAAATTTTGATTTCTTGAGAAATTCTAATAAATTTTGCATTTTCATAGATATTTTGTTTTTCATATGATAGAAATTTATAACTTATCTTAATAAATTACTGAATCTTTATATTGTCTGTAAAGAAAGTATTTATATATTTTTTTTTTTTTTTCTCATTAATATCATTTGCTGATGTTCTTGAATGCCTAACTTTCTCTTAAAAAATATCCAATAATAAAATCATTAGTCTTAAAAAAAAAAAAATACATCTTCTACTTAATATATGGTCAAACGGTAACGGACCCTTTGGCAATAATACTCGTTTTCACAATCTTGAATTAACGTATTTTCTTATACCAACTCCATAATCAATGATTTTTCTCCCTCCTTTTGTTATTTAGAGAGAAAGAAGCTAATCGCATCAGAGCTGAACGTGAACAAGCACAGAGAGAGAAATTACGTGAATTGGTAAGTTTTGTAGCAGTCACTCTAGAATTATCTCCCTTTTGATTTGTTCTTGAGTTGGAGTTTTAAATTGAAAACAATTAACGATTTCATGTTGCTTTGCTTCACTTGGGAATGTGACAGAACGAAGACCATAGCAGTCTCTAAACCTTTTCCTATGTAATCTTGTAATAAATTATATTTACTAACTGTAATAATAGCAGCTTTTGTGGAAATGTCTCCATAAAAAAAACACTCACTGTGCATGGACTACAGTGAGTGTCCGAGTAGGGCAGGGGTGGCCAACCTTTTGATTCCATGCGCCACACAAATATTCACTTCCTTTCAGTACGTGCTGTAATATGGACATATTTTAAAGTTATAATAAAATCTATTTATTTGAAAAATATATGCTTAATGACCAGGGGTGTATTATTTTTTTTTTTTTTTTTTTTTTTTTTTTTTTTAAGCACTTTCGCAAAGGACGTGCAATAAATATAAAATCACTGAAATGAATGAGTAGAAGTGGCTTAGTTTCTTTTCATCAAAAGGATGCAATGTGCCACTTATGGCATATGCGCCATAGGTTGGCCATCCTTGGAGTAGGGTATGAAGAGCATGCAGCCTTGTAAAAAAAAAAAAAAAACTTGCCTCAAATCATTGGCAGGAGATGCTCTGTCAGGCAGGACCACTTTGTTTTGCGTGAGATTAATCCCAGGCCTGCCTAAACAAAAAAGACATATATGTATATATGTTATGTATGAAGACTTTTTTTTTTTTTTTTTTTTTTTTGTGTCACAGCAAAAATGTTTTTCAATAGGAACCGCTTATTTGCCGCCCCGCCCCCACACACCACCCCCACCCCAATTTAATTATTCCAGTTTTGTCTGTTAAAGGAATTGGGACTGAATTCTGTATTCAATTAGGGAAGCAGAAGTGTTACATGTTTGTTCGTTTTTTTGTTGTGATATTAATTGTATTTTTCCTCCCTCTTTCAGGAACAAGAACGGTTGAAGTATGAACAACAGGAAGCTGAGAAGAAGGAGCTGAGAGATCAATACATTGCAAAAATTCTCAATCCACCTTCTACTGTCAATTCTGTTGCAGTAGCTCCCCTTTTGTCGTCATCCTCTGCCTATCAGAAGGAAGTGGCAAAACCAGTTGGTCAGAATACGAGTCTAAACACAAGTAATAAAGCAACTTCTAATCATGATAGGTAAGAAAGTAGATTAATTTCTTCACTGCCTATCCTTTGTCTGTTTTTCTCTATGCATCAGGCAAATTCTTAATCCCAATTCTTGACAATCGACGGAGAGAGGGAACAATTCCTACTTAGGGCATTTTGGCAAAGGTTAATAGTAATTAATCTTGAACCACTGTTATAGTACACTCCCTTGATAAATTTTATTGTTTTTAAAAAACTATTTTTAGAGTTTTAACAAAACCTAAACGTATGAAACCTGATTTATACATATTTTTTTTTCTCTTATGAACTCACAACAAAAATGTGAACCATTATTTATCTATTTATTGGATTATTTATTTGTAAGAAAAATTTTATATTTACAAGCTTATAAAAATATCTGAGTCAACTGAGTCAGTTATGTGCCATGCGTGATGCACGCTTAGGCAATCATGTATCTTTCAATATATGACTGACGAGGCAGATTTTTTCCCTGCAGTAGGTTACCATTTCTTTCTGTGGTAGACCAGTTGCCATCCAAGGCTATAGAACCCACTATGTCCTGCTATTTACCAAAGCTAGGTAAATTAAAGCTGGGGGAGAAGAGAATTCATACCTTTCCCAAGGGTATTAGCACATAAGTGAACGTAATGGATTGGACTGGAATTCGAACTCGGCTCTCCGATTCCTCACTACAATGCAATATTTGTTTACGATAATATAAAGAAATAACTGAACGTTTTTATTCCTAAATTTATAAAAATATCTGTCCCAGAAAATGACAAAAGGAGGACAAGTAATTGTAATTATAAATGTCATTTAATTTGGTTCTGCCACCTAAATTCACAAAAATAGCTTGAGCACATTTGAATTTATACATTTATTTTTCTCAAATTGACAGCAGAAATGTTAAAGACTATTAGATTGTTTACAAGAATAATTTGTCAACATTTAACAAATGTACCTGCTAAAAGAGGATTATACAGTAATAGCAGTATCAAGAGAAAAGCTGTCTTTTTTGACGTACAGGGTTTTTTGGGCTTTTTTTTTTCTGTGTGTATGTTTCTTTATTAGTTTTTTTTTTTTTTTTTTTTTTTTTTTTTTAGGTAATGCAAATTGCCTGTGTGTTCAGTCAGTTCCTATTTATCGCATGGGTTGGGCCTCCACAAAAGAGGACCCCAAAAGCCTTAATTCTCCTGGGGAAGTCAGTTTTACTTTGGTCTTTTATTATTCTAATTCAAAATGCAGTGTCATAATAATATGACACTGCATTTTGTTTTCTATTTCGATCTACTATTTCTTTGCCCGGGGGGGGGGGGTCTGTATTACTTTAACTTATTGATATTTAAAGTTTATTTAGGTAGTAAGAATTCTTGTAAACAATTCAACTGACATGATATGTCGAATTTTTTTTAATGGTATTTCTCTAATTTTTGAATGTTGTGCATCAGAATTAAAATTGTGGATAAACTGTCCATATGCACTTTGGGCAGTTTATCTAATTTTCGTTCAGGTGTGCAGTTCCTTATTCAAAACATGGTGGGGAGAAATACAATAAACAAAAATTAGACAGATCTTGTCAGTTGAATTTAATGGAGCTTTTTCTTTTTTTTTTTATTAAGGTGATATGAATAGATATTGAAGTATTAAAATTCATCACATTTTATTTTAATTTGGTATTCATTAACTTGTTTTTTCCCCACCTCAATTTTGTACATTTTTCATTATAATTCACTGACTAAACAGGAATTGTTTGTTTGTTTTTTGTTTTTTTTATGTTAAAAGATAACTATTTTCTTTTTAGTTACCAAATGACACCTAAGAGGGGCTCCTACAACAATTATGACATAACAGAACTAAAATCTGATGATTCTACTGATGAAGAGGATGGTCCTCGTAAACCAATTCCCAAATGGGCCCAAGGTAAGAAATAAGAAGAAATTCTTTTGGGGCTTATGAAAGATATGGAACAAGATTGTCAATTCATTACAGCATTGTTTGTCCAATCAGTATTTAAAAAAAAAACATTTTTTTTTTTCTCCTGTAAATTTGTAAAGGTTTTGAAGGTTTAATGCAGCCAGCATCACTGTACCCAATTTGTTTAAACTTTTATTTATCTGTTAATAACAAGGTACAACACAAACCATAGGGAATAATATTGATTCTTAAGTGCATGATAATGAGATTGTTTATCTGGTTCATTTTTCTTAAATGAACTAGAATGGTTTAAATATTAGCTGAGAAAACAGTTGTCATCTGCAGCAGCTTTTATTTGATCTATTTAATGCAAATATTCAGTAGGGGGTGGGGGAATGGTGATCCAGTATTTTTATCCAGGTACTGGTTCAGTAAAACTCATTACTATACATTGTATGATCTTTTTAAATCGGAACATGAAATTGTTCAGAGTTGTAATCTTATTACTTGTCAAATCTCTGTTATTTTATCAACTGAGTAAAATGATTCTTAAGATCTGTATAGCTGTGTGCAATTAATTTTAAAAAGGAAATGTAATTGATATTTGTGTTTTCATTGTGAAGCAGTCTAAATACAAATTTCTGTAAGCTTAACTCATTAATGCCCACTGTAAAATCTGGTAGGTATTATTTTTCTAAAATGAATCCAGTAACATTGGTCTCTAATCTCAATCTGCTACTATGCGTTTCTAAAATTTCCATCTGAATTTCTGGGATGAGTAGTTCTCATTAATTACACGTGGATTATTGCCCTTATCTTTTTTTTATCGCAATATTTTGGCCATTGCACCTTCCAGCCTTCATCTGGTTCTTATTGATCCTGATAAACTTCAGAGAATTTTGAATTGAAACCTTTTTATCTAATCTGAGGGCAGCAAAATGAGAACAATCTACTCTTGTGAATTAGATAGAGGATTCATTTCAAAGTTTCTTGAAGGTTACCTGGATCAAGAAGCACCTTTTATAAAGCTCAAAGGTTCAAAATGTTGAGATAACAACAAAGATGAGGACAATAGTGCACATGTAAATATAGGTGCCTAATAAATCAAAATATGTTATAGGATTGTGAATAGATTCAGTATTAATAAGAAGCTGCAACTCATTAATATCCACCATCCCATTGGCCATTAATGGCTTAAACAACTGTTGGGTTTAGCTTGCTTGCCTATTTTTTTTCCTCTTCTCTCTCTGTATGGGATAGTTGAATGAAGACTACTCTCACTACTACTGTAAAAGCCAATGTGCATAAATGTTCATCAAATACTGTTAAGAACATTTGCTTTGCCGGGTGACACATCACAGGAGTTTGGAGTAAAGTAACTTAGAGAATTTTTTATTTATTTTTGTTACTTGATCATTTGGATTCAAATACATTCAAGGAACAAAAGTTTTATTCCGATCACATGGACAATGGTTCATTACAACCTTCTCCCCATATATAACACTTGACAACTATAAAATAACTTAAAGGATGCAGATGTAAGTTTATCTATATGATAGTCATGTATTTGGAAGAAATGTATAAAATGTAAAAACAAATGTGGCCAATTTATGTGGCAACTTTAGGTATCCTTTCAGTTCATGTTTATTAATACCAAAGGACCTGTCTCTACTCTCAGGCTTGCACAATTCCTCAGTACAGATTTTGTTAGAGCAGCAAATATTACACATCTTTGGCAGATACCCATGGTGGAAGATGTCTGTGATTTTGACTCTCCAATACAAAAGGAAGAATTTAATGTTTTAAAACCTGATCTTTGTTTCTGGTACTTCCAGATGTTAGTGTTGACTAAATGCACTCTGGCTTTATTTAAGATGGACCTTTTTTGTACTCTTTTCACTGTTGTTGTTGTTTTTTTTTTTTTTTGTTGTTTTTTTTTTATTCCAAGGTGTTTTTATTATAATCATTACCAGGTATGTTCTCATTACATTTAGTTCAGCAGAGACGTTTCTGTGAGTTTGAGCTATTTCTGAATGTTGTCTTGATGTTTTTATTATTATTTTTTTTTTTTTTTTTTTTTTTTTTTTTTGGTCCTGAATTGAAGATCTCTTTGTTGAAACAATTTTACAATCCACCCAATTTGGATGAAATATTCCTTCCAATTGAGCTTCCAGATCTGAATGAACTTTTTGTGAAAAAGAAGTCTCGCTTTAACAGGCGTACTAGCTCAGCTGTATGGGACAGTCCAATGCTAAAGTCTCACATCCCTGTCTTTAACTGAGATAACAACTGATCTCCCATAGAGTCTCCTCTTAAATTCCCTTGGCTTTAATGTCCTTGTGATCAGATGGAACATTCTAAATTGTCTTTGTTGAATCACTCATTAACTCTCTTTACAGATACTTTTAACCAAAATACAAACATAACATACATTGCCCTTCTTTCTAACATTTTTCTCTGGCAAGAGACAAATAGCTGTACTGTTTAAGGGGAAGAAGGCTACAAGCCAATATTTTATTTAATCTTTTCATAATCTTTGGCTGACAGCGAAAACAAATATTCGTTTTTATTTCCCATTTGCATAATTATTTGTGTAAGCATTTTAGGAAAGATGAAATGTTAATAAACTCTTCATTATTTTTAATAAATTTTCTTCCCTTTTCCGCCGTTTAATCCCCTTACAAGATTATTCCAAAGGCATCTGTGCACATATTATGTCTAAATATTGTAATTACTCTATTAGATAAAAAATGTCAACTTTAAAGAAGGAAATACCTGTTTTAACGTTAGCTCTTGACTTTATAATGTGACAATTTTTTTAATTAATTTTAAAAAAACTGCTTATTGCATTCGTCTGACAATTAAGAATTTTAATCTGAAAAAGTTTCTCTATAATGTACATCAAAATTTCACCTTATTGTGAAGTATGAAATTTTTTTCTTGTCTTACCTTAAGAATTTTGGTGGGGTAGAATTGCATAAATGTAAGGGGGATAATTTTAAAATGAGTTACCTGCCCCTGGTTTTTTTTACATTCAAATAATTTTTTATTTTTTGGGGGGAAAATTTTAGCGTGCCTAAATTTATATACTGTAATTTGAATGTGAACACCCCTGCCTCAATCAAGGTAACTTTGCGTGAATGGGCCCAAATATAAGTGTATTAATTTTTAGTTTCTTCCTTGCCACTTTCTTTTGCTCTCAAGATTTTTAAAACAAAATGATAAGGGGAAATTTTATGTATAAAATGTAGATAATTATTTCATAATTCTGTATGTATTTATATAATGTGTAAATCTTTACTGTTAGTGTTTTTTGTGTGAATTGTATCATCATTTTGGGGAATCATGACCCCCCCCCCCCTTTCTGTAAGTATGCTTGTTCTCCTTCAGATATAAAAATAGCCTGTTGAAATTAATGTTCATACTCTTCAAGTTAGTTTTTAATGGCAGCATTAAAACTGATTTTCTTTTTTGTTGCTGTTCAATACCTTAGCAGTTGTCGGGGTTTAGCATCAAACAAGGCTGATTGTCTTCTTGTGGGGGACACTTATTCTAAATGATCCTCTAATGGAGGAAGGGGTTAGTTTTTAAAATGATTTTGTTACTTCTCAAGTATTGACTTCTAAGGATATTTGAAAAAAAAAAAAAGAAAAAAAAAAGTTTATTCTTCTCTAAAGATGACATTCTCTCATATTTTCTCAAAAAAACAAACAAAAATTGAATCTGATTTTTTTTCAATGTCCAAAAGTTGATAATTGTTTCTTATGTAATCACTAAATTTAGGTGCTTGTAAAATCTGCAATAAATTATCTGCCTTGAAAACTTTAGCCTCATATCTTGTGGAAATTAGCCAACTGAGGTGGATTTTTTTTTCTCTCTCTCTCCCCTTATTCAGCCCCTTGCTCCATCAATTTTTGTGAATAAAACAGAAAACAAAGTCAGCCAAAGAAATGAGTTTAAATATTTCATTACCAATTGCAAGATTTTCATTAATTTTTTTTTTTTTCTTCTCTTTCGAGTAAATATCAGAAACTTTTGACTAGTATATTTTAAGCATCAGATGGCTACCCCTGCCAAGAGGTAAAAAGAAAGAAAATGCTGTAAATAAGATGAGCCATTTAAAAGAATCCTTTATGTTAAGAAATACTGTATTGATTCCTGGGACATGTAATCCAATCTTCCTATATCCTCCAACCATATCAATGTAAATATCTATTGCTTTCTAGACTTTGTTTTTTGTTAGCTGCTTTATTCTTTTAATCGCTGGAGTGCTTGTCTTTCGTCTGACTGTGTTTGGTATTTGTGCAAATGATTGTGTTTTTGTTTTTTTTCTCCCCCATTTATAAACCTAAAATATACTTCCAATTTGTGTAGAATTAATTTTAAAAAAAATATTGCAAAATAAACTTTACCATATAATTTTAAATGTTTGTTTTATTATCAATTTGTCATTTATTTGAACACTTCAAATGAAAAATTCGTTTTTGAAACTTCTACAATATTTTTCAATTGTTTCATTTTTTTTTTTTTTCTTTCTTTCTGCCATTATGTCACTATATTATTCTCTTACACTTGCTCTCAAGATGAAATTCATCAGGGTGCCCTAGTTTTTTATTTTAAGCCAATATATATAATCTCCCCAACTATTTTAATCTCTGCTGATTGAAGTGTATCCCATGAATGTTTCTTCTCTCATTGGAATTGGGTTAGAACAGACCTTTTACAAATGCCCCCTTGAAACATTGGTTCAATTTATAAAAGTAAAATATTTATTGCTTATTTTAATCCAGTGATTTTTACATAATTTGTTCACTTAGTGATTGAGGTTGAAACCACTTAAAAGCAAGGATTTCAAATGTTGGGTTTCACAATGCTGCCCTTCAATAATATCTACTGACCCTCATTTTCCCACCACCAGCTTCTAGGATTGATTCTTATCCAGTTCAGGACTTGTTAAAGGAATAGCATATGAAATTGTAGATTTCTTCTTCTATTAATGATTTGAA